CCTTGAGGGACTCTCAGTAATCAGCAAGATCCCATCAGTAGCAAGTTCAAAGACTAGTTTGAGAAAAATCCCTCAAGGTGTTCTTGCTCAGGGCCACCTAAGGAATTATCATATTGGGATTTGTTCACTATGCTCAGCTGTTTAATCCCTCAGAGGCTGCTATAGCCAAGGTTCAAGCAGGCTCTGGCAGTAGAGTTCACATCAACAGCAGATCCTGGCATTAAGACATATCATGCTGGTTTTGCAGGTATGAATGCAAGAGTTGTAGGGTCATGGAGGCTTTCATTAAGATTTCAAAGAAAAGCCTGAGAAGCCAGGCAGTATTTAGTAGAATCAGAGTCTTGCAAAGAGACCCCAAAGAAAGGAGAGGGTGATTGATGGGTAAAGCTATGAGAGTAAAGTTGAAGCTGTAGTTAGAAATTTGAGAAATGTGGAATGTCTGTGGAAAGAACTTTCAGGCAACAAGCAAGGACAGCCCAAGAGAATGATCAAGCGGGCTTTAGCCATCAAGGCCACAGGGGCAGGGTTTCCCAAGTCCTTTAGTGTTCACATCATAACATCATGTGCCCTGGATGCTGGTCATGGATCTACAGGATAAATGTTGCCCTGCTGAGTTTTGGTCTTGGTTTTATTTGATTTTTCTTTTCTATCCCTCTGTTCCTCCTTTTTGTATTAAGAAAATTTACATTGTGCCTTATATCTTGAAAATAGTTAGTAGAGGCTCACCACTAAGACTGCATCAGATTTGAACTTCTGAGTGATGCTAGAGGATTCTTGGAGATGGAGTAGATGCATTTTTCATTTTGAGATAGACATGAATTCTGGGAGCCAGCAGCAAAATGTTTTTTGCCTGGATCTTAAAACTCCCCCAAAGGCTCTTGTTCCGAACACTAGGTCCCCACCTGATGGCAATGTGATGATGATAGATAGTGGAAGAAACTTTAGGAAGTGGTTTAGTAGAAAAAAGTTAGGTCTCCAGGGATGTGCTATTAAGGGGATACTGAGACGCTAGACCCCACTTTCTCTTTTGCTTCCCAGGCACCAAGACATCAACAGTTTTGCTCTACCATGTGCTCCCTGCTGTAATGTTCTGCCTTTCCACAGGTTCAAAGTGATGGGGTCAAGTAACTATGAATTAAAACCTCTCAAACTGTTAGCCAAAATAAATCTTTTCTCTTTTTAAATTGTTTTTGTCAGGTATTTTGTCACAGTGACAGAAAGCTAACACAATCACCATATCCCCTACTACTGCTATACAAATAATATATTCAGCAAATAGAAATGTATTCATGATACTATGTTGAATAACTTCCAATCCTGAAATATTTCCCAAAAAATCAACTGTATTTTCTGATGCACAACTAAAGTGACAGATATTTTGATAAATCAGAAAAAACCTTTTGCAAACATCTCAAATGTGACATATACTTCAAAACTGATGAATTTCTCTAATCTGGTCCTATGAAATCCTCTATCACAGGTTACAACTGATTTGTTAATTTTAAACAGTATGTTGTATCTTTCAAGTATTGCCCAGCTTTATGCTCCAGAACTCACCATTTCATGGCTATAGTTTATATTTATTTTCACAGATAAATGCATGTCTGTTCTCAGCTTAAACTGGCAAAATTATGGCAGTCCTTTCCTTCAGCCAAAAATAAGGCAATTGTGTTACTGAAGACTCAAGTACTCTTAGTATGAAATTGTTATGATTTCTCTTTACTTATAGCTTTTCCCCAAGTGATAATATTTTAAAGGCTGAAATAAAATCTAGTGGTCTTTTAGAAAATATGTGTTGAAGACTAACATTCCCTTTTTGTTGTCTCTGGCTCAAGAACAGATGAGAGAATTTAAGTTGTATAGGTATCTGAATGGGTATTTCTTTTTTTTTTTTTTCTGTCTTTTGTCTTTTTATCGGTACCGGGGATCAAACTCATGAGTGCCTACTTCCAAGGCAGGCACTTATGCCGCTAAGCTAAATCCCCAGCCCCTGAATGGGTATTTCAACTGATTAAAAATATAGGGTTCTTTCTGTTTTGTTTTGAGATTGTATTCTATGCAGTTCAGGCTGGCATTAACTGACTTTGCAGCCCAGACTGGCCTCAGGTTCACAGTGATCCTCCTGCCTCAGCCTCCCAAGTGCTGGGATTACAGGGGTGCACCAGTATGCCCAACTGAAAAATACAGTTAATTTATAAAATTCGGATAATTCAAGTGATGTCAATAATAAATTACTCAATATTTTTATCCACTAGACACTATTTCAAAGAACTCTACCAGTTGTGTTTGCTTATCTCTCACTTGAACAAGTGCCAAAGAAAAGGTTTAAGCCATGTGTTCATATCTGTTTCTTTCCTTACTCTACAACATATGACACGTTTTTTGTCATGGTAGCATATGAATTAAAGATTTACCCATCAATCACCCTCTCCTTCTTGGGGTCACTTTGCAAGACTCTGATTCTACTAAATACTGGCTTTTCAGGCTTTTCTTTGAAATCTTAATGAAAGCCTCCATGACCCTACAACTCTTGAGCTAACATATGAATTAAAGTTTGAAGATGGTGACACTAGGCAGGTAGCTGCAAGAAGAGCATTACTGGTTTGAAAAAGCATGTGCAAAGGTCCTGCAGCAGAATGCTGCTCAGTGTCATGAAAGAAGTACAGGTAAGTCCATGCTTCTAGCACAGAGTAAGAAAGGGGAGGTCTGAAAGGTGATAGGCTCCAATCGGGACACAGCCTTGTTCTCTACCACTGTAAGGACTTTGGTATTTGTTTGCTCTGAAAGAAACAGAATGTCATTAAGTGCTCTGAGTGATTGTTTCACTTTTTGGTAGTTTTATGAGGCATATTTTAAAAGGATCACTTGGCTACTGTGTCAGGAATAGAGAGTAGGGTGCAAATGTAGAAGATGGAGAATAGTTAGAAGCTCCTGAAGCAAGGCAGGTGAGAAAGGTGGGCAGTAGCAGTGGAGGACTCATGTCTGGACTTTTTTTTTTTTTTTTAATGTCTGGACATATTTTGAAGGCAGAACCTATGGACTTCCTTGATGACCCGGGCTAGAATATGAGAGAAGGTGCCACAGATAACTCTAAATTTGGAGCAGCCATAGCTGAGACAGGGTAGAGCGTGGGTGGAACAGGTTTGAAGAGAAGATAATTAATTCCATTTAGCATGTTAAGTCTAGTTTTAAACCTCAGCTTTATTACTAACTAGCTTTGTGGCTTTGGGCAAGTTATTTAACCTCTTTGAACCTTAATTTTCTCATCGTAAACTGGAATAATGACATATAAGGATTAAGGTGATGTATGAATTCCAATGTGCACAAAGCACTTAGCACAGATAGAGGTATACAGTAAGTATTCCATAAATGATGGGCTTGCTGTATTTGCCTCATCAAAAACATCCAAAAAGTGAAACACATTGTGCTCTTTCAACTAAAATCATGAGAGCTATCTGAGCACCTGTGACTCAGTGAGTACAAGTCAGTGCTACAGCGAGGTCTACAGTGATGAGGGTACTGAGGTCCACACACAGGGCTCTCAGCATCAATACTTGAGAGATTTAAGCTCATTGGTCATGCCTGTCACCCTCACTTAAGGCCCGTGGGAGAGGCACAGTAAAAACAAAACGTCTCTGTGATGACTGCTTTTCTAAAGTGCCTTTGGGATTTAAAAAAAAAAAAAGTTTTTCAAGATGAGAAGATATTAAATTGACATCTTTACCAAATAAGCATGTGAAAAAAGGGATTTTCCTCCCAGAAGTTACTAAGCCTTGGCAGCATTTAGAATGTGTCTTGCCAAGTTGAGAAAATACGAAGAAAGAAACATAAAGATGTTGAAAGTTAGTTTATTTAAAATTACATTTTAAATACGTAATTCTGTGCCTGAAATACCATTGCCTTGAGGGTAGCACCTGGGCCAGAGGTGTTGCTGATGTTGACGAGCAAATTTAAACAATTTCTTTTGTTTTTTTTTTTTCGCCTCCTAAGCTAGCAGGATAGATACTGGGTAAGGTAGAAAGGAGAATGGACTGCACCCAGAGGTGAACCCAAAGAACAAAAGGTAGACTGAGTTCTACCATGTACAAACTGTCATGACCTCTACAGTGATATCTTTTCTCCCTCAAGTTCTTCATTCACAAAATGGTGGCACTTGTACTTCCCTCACAGGATTCAGAAATGAGAACATCTAGCTACTTTGTTTTATGTTAGACCAAAGATTAGAGATTACCTTTTTAAAGAATTTTGCTACATTCAATAGTGACAAAGACAATGATAACAACAACTCAGGACAATCAGCATGAAATAACTTGGAGCCGAAAGCAAGTTTGAAGTCCCAGGTTGTCTTCTTGTGTCCCTTTAGCTGTTGAGCTATTGCCAGTCTCTTCAGCTCATTTCCTCTTGGCTACCTTTGCCCTTTTGAAAATCACTTTGTTTCCACTCTGACAGGACCTTGCACTAGAAACAGCTAGTCACCATTGCCTAATTTCTCAGGAAAGCACTCTCCCCACCCTTCTTTTGTGGGAGTGAGTCACTTCCTCTTTCTGAATGGAAATCCAATGGTTATTTATATCATGGAGTAAAGGAACAGATCCCAGGGAGAAAATAACTAGGAAGGACAGAATTCAGAGTCCAGATGGCAAGTGATTTGAGGATGAGTAAGAAAAGGTTGAGCCAAGGAAATGTTTTTAAAAATAAATCTTGCTAGGTTTAGAGAGGTTGTAGGCCAAACAGGAGAGGAATGTAATGACAGGAAAAAATGACAATAAATTAAGAATAAAAAATACTCTTCGGTGGCACTGAACAGAGGCTAAACAAGTCACATAAACAAAAGGAGACTTGGGGACAGCCCTGATTCTGTGTAATATTTTTCAGTGAGCATCAAAGGATAGCAACATTAATGTGTGTGAGAACACTGACACAAACTATCTCCCACCTTTAGCTCTAAGTTGCAATTATTTCTTTAATTAAGTAAGATCTTTATCACTACAAAAACATACCAGTAAAGGTTTCGGTGCATGGGTTTATGCCAGCAAGCCTCTTTGATGTCCCGAAATCAGAGATCTTGAGAACACCACTGTAGGTATTAATCAATACATTGTCGCCCTAGGAAAAAAGGTCATCAGTGAAAAATATAATCTTTCTGCAGGTACTCCTACTATGAATTTTTAAAATTCAACTAATTTATAAGGATGCTTCAAATATTTTGTTAGTAAATATACATTTCTGTATTTAGTCAATTTGCTATACTTGAGGTTAAATTCTATTGTATTATTTACTTATGACATACTTGTTTTTAAAAAACTTAAGATGAAGAAATACAAACATAGAACTAATGGCATAATAAATCCTCATGTACTCTTCTCCTCAAAAAAATAACGTTCAACTAAAACAGTGATTAAAACAAATAAAGGTATTACTCTATGCTCTCATTAATAGTTTATCTTGAGAGAGAATTCTTGAAACAATTTATAAAATCATCAGTTGTTCACCATTTGTTCAACTTACAAGATCAAGCAAGGTGCCAAGGGGAAGTTCACCACGGTTTTACACAGCGAGGCGAGACGTATGCGACACAAAAAGGTACCAATTAAATTAGGAATTTCTTAATTTTTAGTTACTTTCTTTTCTACGTGGTTCTGTTTCTTTCGCTAGAATATGTGGAGACTTTACAGATAAGTGCGTTTATAAGTTGACTGTGGGGTAGAAAAAAAAAACCCGCCCCTTTAAAGACTGTGGCCGCACTTTTAAAGTTGTTCTTTTTGTTTCCGCTAAAGTTCTTTTTTTTTTTTTTTTTTGTCTTTTTCTTTTTTTATCGGTACCGGGGATCGAACTCGCGACTGCCTGCCTGGAAGGCAGGCACTTATGCCGCTGAGCTAAATCCCCAGCCCCTCCGCTAAAGTTCTTAAGAAAGTTGTGGAGAAAGCCAAGGTCATAAAGTCACTCCGACTCATTCTTCTGGGTTATCTACAATAATCTTTCCTTTTTATAATACTAACCTTTCTTGCCTCACAAAAGTTCGCCTCCACCATCTTTCTGGTTTTTAACCCTTATTGAACACGTGATCTAGGATCTTGAACTGAGCATGCGCAGAAATTTGCTGCGCATGCTCAGTAATTGGCTTGCTCCTACAAGGGCTTTCCTATCGGCTCCCCAGTAATTTTCCATTTCATTTCTTTGTTGGGGAGAACGGGCGGTGGGGGGGGGGGGCTCACAAATAATTAATTCCAGAGCTCTCCTTATTTGCTGCAAGTAATAAGACTTTCACTACTCTCTTATTTCCTGGTTGTGTTTCTTGCACTTGGCAAGATGTGACCCAATTGCTGTCTGTTATAAAATTAAACATTAAAAACAGTCATTTTGTCAAAAGTTTACTAGTTTAGAAATTCCTTTTAACGAAAACCTATTATTAGTTTATTTTGTTATTTTAGAGAATTTGTTATAATTTTAGTTCAATGCATCAGTGTGTCATACTTGCAAAAAAAAAAGATGAATGATTTTATTTATTATTTCTTCTAATCCACTGATTCAATACAGACTTACAGGTAGTGATTAAGGACAAGGATATAAAGGTAAGTCAGCCTGTCAGCTCCTTAGGAACAGAGACCAAATCCTGCTTCACTTTAAACTGCAGCACCGTCCCCAGAGAGCTCCTAGAAAATATTTCACAGTGGGAATCCAGTCTGTGATTGAACTTGACTAAGGAGTTTATTCCTTAATCAGAGGAGATAAGAGTAATATATGTGTACTGTTTCAAAGATTTATTTGTTCTTCTAAAATAATATGCATAACACAAAGTGACTTTTGCAAATAACACAATTACCTAGTTAGGAAGTCATGAAAATGAATCACAATGCATCCTACCTTTATATCCCGGTGAACTATCTGATTGTCGTGGAGGTATTTTAATCCTTCCAGTATTTGCTTTGTGTAAAAGCCAATTGTTTGCTCATTGTCTTTTAATGGACCCCATTTGGAACGAAGGAGAGCAGAAAGACTTCCTACAAAGAGTAAAATATCATCCAAATGAGCTCTTTAAAGCATATGAAAAATCAGACTAATGTTCATTGAGCCAGTGTTCATTGTATTTTCACAGTGGCTCAGGAACTATTCCAGTTACTTGGGCTCAAGCATGAATATAGCAGGATATAAAATCAACACACAAAATCAATAGCTTTCTTGTTCATCAATAACGAACACACAGGGCTGGGTATTTAATTCAGCAGCTAAGTGCCTGCCTGGCAAGTGCAAGGTCATGAGTTTGATCCCTGGCACCAAATAACAATAATAATAATAATAATAATAATAATAATAATAAACTCAGAAAGAAATCAGGAAAAATTTCCATTCACAATAGCTTGGGAAAAAATGCCTAGGAATCAACCTAACCAAAGAGTGAAAAACCTCTAGGATGAAAATTACAGAGCAGTAAAAAAAAAAAAAAAAAAAAGAGATTGAAGAAATTAACAAAAGGAAAGTCCTTCCTTGTTCATGAACTGGGAATGAACAATTTATCAAAACAATCCACAGATTTAATGTAATTCCTATTAAAATACCAACAAGCCAGTTACAGAAGTCCACACCTGCAATCCCTACACTCTGAGAGGGTAAGGCAGGAGGTGACTTAGTAAGACTATCCCCAAATTAAAAAATAACACAGGGCTGGAGATGTAGCTCAGTATGAGGGTTCTGCATTCAACCTCCAGTCTTAATCCTCAGGTTCAAGATCCCCAGTTATATACAAAACACACACACACACACAGATGAAAAAATAAAAATAAACTCAACAGCATTCTTCACAGAACTAGAAAAAAAAATCCTGAAATTAATAGGGAAGCAGAAAAGACCCAGAATAGCCAAAAGAATCCTGAACAAAAAGAGCAATGTTGGAAACATTGTAATACCAGATTTCAAGTTATACTATGAAGCCACAATAACAAGAACAGTATGATATTGACACTGAGTAGACATGATAGATCAATGCAGTAGAACAGAAGACATAGAAATGTGTACAACCATATAATTTTTATTCTTCTTGTCTTTTTGAAACAGAGTCTTGTTATGCAGTTTGGCCTGGCCTTGAGCTCACTTTGTAGCCCAGGCTGGTCTCAAACTCGCAAGGATCCTCATGCCTCAGCCTCCTGAGTGCTGGGATTATAAGCATGTGCCACCATGCCCAGCTAACCATATGATTTTTGACAAAGGGGCCAGAAATTACATGCTCAAAGACAACCACAGGGATAGAGGACATCTTGAGCCCATTCAACCTGTTTCTCATTATAAGTGTGATTTGTGTTTTTTTCTAAGGTAAACAAGGACTTAAATGCAGTTTTTACTAAAAATTGTGACTCTTCACTTGGGCCTAGATAGCTGTTAGGTTGCTTAAAGTAGAATAATACTTGATCTTCCATTTTCTGAATCTCTGGGTCAAATCCTGCTCAGCTTTGCACATAGGAATGTTTGTCATTTAGGGGATGTCTGTCTAAAACAATTGGTTAAACAAGGTTTATTAGTCCTATGTTAGCCTGTCTCATCACCTTGTAAGACAGAGAATACCAAAACAAGAATTACAGAAATATTTGGCAATACCCAGTAGTCTCCGGTGCCCCAAACCTAGGGTCACCTCGAATTCCAGCAGAGCCGCACAAGACTGAGACTGCTACAGGCAAGAAGAGTCATCCCACGGGAACAAATGGCCCTCAAGCCAGAGCTAGGAGCCCAGGACTGAGATAATGCCTGCCATCCCATAAAGCCGGGCTCTGTTCTTGTGAATGAACCACTCTGATCCACCACTTAAGCCTCAGACCCCTGTATCTTTTCTTTCCTTTGTCAGAAGAGGCTTGATCTCTGTCAGAGCATTGCCCGCCGTTTCCTCTTACCTTTCCATTATAGCTTTTTCCTGTTAATTCCATTATCGTGGATGCAAAGACCTACACTGGTAGATGCTGAAGAAAAGACAGCCTCTTTTTCTAAACAAATTTAATTGTATTGGTACTCTTTTGATGTACATCATGATCACATTCATTATAGGGAATTTGTACTGTACATGATATATCTCAAAAATGCTTCTTTTTCTCCCATCCCTCTCTCCTCTCATCAACCGTTTTTCCCTCACTTATTTACAAAAGCTTTATTTCCTTTTCTCCCCTTCCTTCCCTTTTCCCTGCCCCCTCTCTTTTTCCCCTTCTAACTTGAACATTTTCTTCCTAATTCCCAATATCCAGATCTTTATTTACAGTTTCAGTTTCTTACACAAAAGAAACAACATGGTATTTAAATATGTGTGTCTGATTTATTTCACTTAAAAGTATGATCTCAAGGTGCATTCATAAAAATGTCTCAAGTTTATCCTTCTTCATGGCAGAGTAGTACTGCACTGTAGAAAAAACCCATACCTTTATCCATTCATCAGTTGATGGGCATTTGAACTGTTTCCAAGATTTAGCTATTACAAATTTTGCTGCTATAAATACGGGTGTGCATATATTGCTGTATGATGCTTTTAACACTTTCAGGACAGCCTCTTTCACAAACAGTGCTGAGGAAACTGGAGTTCTACATGCAGAAGGTTGAAACTAGATCCCTATCTCTTACCCTGTTCTTAAATCAAAGACCTACATCTACGACCAGAGACTTTGAAACTGCTGAAAGAAAACATAGGGAAAACACTTGAATCCATAGACACATGCACAGACTATAATAGCACAGGAAATAATAGCAAGAATGAATGAATGGGATTACATCAGATTAGAAAGCTTCCTCGCAGCAAAGGAAATAAGACTGTGGAGACAACCTAGATAATGGGAGAAAATCTTTGTTAATACCCTTCTGATAGAGAATTAATATGTAGAATACATAAAGAACTAAAACAAAAATAACTCTTAAAACTCAAATAACCCAGTCAACAAGTGGGCAAATGAATTGAACAGAAACTTCTCAAAAGAAATCCAAGTGGTCAAGAAGCATATGCAAAAATATTCAACAAATTTAGCCATTAGGGAAATGCAAATCAAAATTATACAGATTATTCGCTGTTATCAAGAATATAAAAAAAAAACCAGTGAATGCTGGGCAGGATGTGGAGATTAAGGGGTGAGATAGGAAGCCTTCTATACTGTTAGTAGGAATGTAAACTAGTGCAAACAGTATGGAAATCTGTATGGAGATGCCTCAAAAAAACTAAAAAAAGAAATAGCATTTGATTCAGCTACACTGCTCCTTGGTATACTCCTGAAGGAATTAAAGATGACATACTACAGTGATACATTCATACCCATGTTTATAGTGGCACAGTTCACAATAGATACGCTTGGAAACAGCCTAGATGTCTCTCAACAGTTGAATGGAATAAGAAATATGATATATCTATATCTATATCTATGTATCTGAACATTATTCAGCCATAAAGAAGAATGAAATCACATCATTTGTGGGGAAATGGGTGGAATTACAGACTATCATGCTAAGTCAAATAAGCCAGACAAGAAAGTTAAATGTCACGCATCTTCTCTTATACAAAAAAGAAAAAAAAAAAAAAAAAAAAAAAAAAAAAAAGAAGAGAGAGAGAGAAAAGAAAAGAAACTTAAAAAGTACACATTTAGAGATGGGGAAAGAGATAGGGGGTAGATAAATTGGGTTTGAAAATAATAAAAATATGTTATATGCAAAAGCCAATACACAAAAATGAACCTTAATATTCTATGTTACTAATATAAACTAAAAAAAGAAAACATGACAACAAAAATGTCCCTCTGAGGATGATCATTCTACCAGTACAGACAAATAATAGGCTGAACAATTGCTAACTTATTTTGGGTCACGAAGACTCATACTAAAATAATTCTGATATTGATACACTATCTCTGAAACTTGAAAGTAATGTCACCTGTCTTAATTTTTTTCCAGTATAGACAAATTAAAACCTGTACTCCAGTAAATCTTATTCTATGTTACTCCTCTGCCAGGCTTTAGAAATGTGTATTTTGGAAAGAAAGCAAAGAATCTCTTACCTCCTGGGACCTGCTCCATGAAGATTTTAATGAAGCCATTCTCACTGAAAGAGCCCAGATACTGGACAATATTTTTGTGCTTCAGATGCTTATGCAAGGCTATTTCTTCATGCAGGGGCTGAGAGTATCTGAAAAATGTATACATGTCAGTCAGTTAATTATGCAGTCAGAATTTGGTGTATAAATTTAGGCAATGCAAACTGAAAATGTCAGGTAAGTGTACGCCAATAAATAAAATCAAAATGACTATGTAAGGCCTTTATTTTTCCTAAGGCAAATTCAGGGCGGTTGCACTTGTGTTAGCATAAGGGGAAAGGAGCCAGCCACTGTTGCAAGCTCTTTGTTTATATTAAATCATTTCTCACAACTGAATAAGATACTATTACGATGACTATTATAATAGAGAAGGATATTAGTTCACAGTGAGGATGACTAACTTGCCCAAGAGTTACTAAGTGACTGATTTAAGAGTTGAACCAAGGAAAACAGAAATCATCGGCACAGCTTACTGTCCATAATAACACAATTCTTTCTTACATAGCTTTAATATTCTAGGAGAATCTTGGCCATGAAGATAAAAATCCCAAATAACTTTAACGTCTATTCTGAAACTAGCTGAAAGATCTTTGACTCATCAATAGAAAACAGCCACACTTCGGTCAATAAAAAAACATAAAACCACTTTAATGGGAAACATAAAACAGTAGTAGAAAACATAAAAACTATATTGCATTTTCAGCCCATTTTTTTCAAAATCCTCAACTTTCTATGGCCATCAAGTCTTAGTATATTGTAATTTTTATTTAATCCCAAACAAGCTTCCACACTGACAGATCAGCTTATACCACACCTCAAAGTCTTATGCTTCGTGTCTGTCGCTGTATAAAATTATTACAAAAGTATTTTACATTTCTGAAACAGACCAACACTTCTGACAATTATCTGAAGCACTGTAAAGCATATTAAGTCCCACAGTTCCAAATCCAATGTAGCACTAATATAATTATTATACCACAGTTTGTGAAAGAACAAAAGCTTAGCAAATTGAATTTTACAGGTCTAATTGGGTTTTATTTACTGATTCATGAACTAGGCAAATAGACAAGAGCTTTGCCAGTCTTGGCAGGATAGTCAATCTTTGCAAGGTAGCTCAATCAGGAACAAGGTAACAGCAAGTGCAAAATGATGTGATTAACAATGGATTACTGCAGATACTCTCTTATGTGCTTTAAAGCAGAGAGGACTTTGTTATTACGCGGGCTCACGCTGCGTAATACTGGGTTCCTTTTGATTACTGTGATCCTCCTGTTTTGTTTTTGTTTTTGTTTTAAACTGATCTGTTCGGAAATTTCCCTATCACCTTTCTCCTGATTTCTGAGAAGAGCTACATAAACAGCTCAGCTTTTGGTTTTATGACATGAAATCTAAATGCAAGTGACTTCTTTTTTGATTGATTTGTTGAGATTTTGCACAGGATCTCAGTTCAAATCACTGGACTTTCATACATTATATTTAATAAGCTAAATATGGTAGTACGTCAGCAATAATAAAGAGAATCAAAGCGAACCCCTTATACACATGCACACACACAGGCATATGTATTTATATACACTTTTGTATATTAGATACTCCAGATGTCAAAGGTACTGAATACCAAGACATTAAATGCAACCTTGCTGTCTTTTACATGTCATACATGTAAGAAATGCTCAGCTCTTACAAAAACAAAGTCATATAGACAGAGTGAATCATTTTTGAATGTCAACAAGTACTAGTGTTGATTAGTATTGAATAAGACTGTTTTCATGAACCTTTTCTGGATAAGCACTAAAACTAAAACAATTAGAAGTTTATAAACATCAAAATTCATTAAATTCAAATAAGCTTTTAAAGTCTTATACTATTATTCAGAAAACAGCCAATGACAACAACAGCAAAACTATAGGTAAAATTTTTTTCTACTTTAGAACTGTTTCAGAAATGAAAAGAACAAGTATTAAACTAATCCTCTTAACATGGTATCATTAGAGACTGCAACAACATTTTGATAATTTTTTTAATGAAGTAACATAAGAAATACTAATATACAGTGTTACGAGTAAAATATTTGGGCAATGACACTTAATTATGAAGATTCTTACCAATTACTTCCTTCCATAACACTTTGACACTAGTTCATTTGGCATTTTCCTTCCCCTAGTTTAGTTGAACTCTGCTAGAACAATATCCTCTGAGGGCAAACTTTGTTAAGAAGAATCAAATGCTCTTGCATAGTTAAAAAATAGTTCTTGTCCTCTCTCCTTGCTGGAAGCACAAGGTGATTTCTCTCTAATATCAACTAGGAGGACCTGGCAGAGCTTCATAAGGTAAAATTCAGAAAATGCAATCCCTCCATGACTAGGTACCCCACGGAGTCTCAATTGTCAGACTTGTTCACACAGAGCTTCTAGCAAGTTATGAGCTGTCATTCAGGACTTCTACCCCAGCACTGTTTCTCTTGGGAGTTTTTGCTCACAGATTTCCACTCCAATAAGTTAGGACTTTTCATATTTACCTGTCTTTCCAGTCTCCTGTCTTTCAATAACAGATCCTTAAAAAGCTGTTTTTGTTTTTGTTTTTTTCAGTTTGTTCAGTCTTTAAATTGTTAGGACAGAATGACAACCTCCAAGGTCCTTACATGCTGGACTGGAAATTACTTGTGATACAGCTTATTCTCCATCTATCCACACAATAAACCAACTTTATCCAAAGTCACGTAAGCCCAATACGCATAGGCCCATTCCCTTCTAATTTTTGATATCCTGTCCTTTCCTACTAGTGTTTTCCCACCACTGTCTTGCACTTGAATCCCTGCATCATGCAGGAGATAAATTTAAATGGAGTTGATGAACATACTGAAATTTTCAGACAGTTTCATTAATTCAAATATCAACAAGTATTTTCTACAGTGCTATCAACAAATCAATGTATGTTTTTTTAAAAAAGTAACTTTTATTGGTAACCATTACTGTACCTGCTATCTCTCTCTGGGATTTCTTTAATAGCAATTCTGACTTGGTTGCTTAAGTCCCGACCCGCGTAGACAATTCCGTAAGTGCCTTTTCCTAAAACGACTCTGTCACCATTTTCATCATATTCATAGTCATACTACAAAAGGGAAAAGGGGAAGAAAGATTGAAACATTAGTTGCAGTTGACATTCCAACATCAGTTTTTCCAAGGATATTGCTTATTTTATCACATATCTTTAATAAGTGAGACCGTGAGATAAAGATCAAGAAACAGCTTCAAGTACCAAAAACAAACAAACAAACAAATACAGGTACTTTCAACATAAAGCAGACAGTCTGTTCACATTTAGGATGGAATATTTGTTATAAATACAGTAGGAGCTACATAGTCAATCTATAAAAATGTTTCTGCAAAAGTCCACTTGAAGTTTTATGCTATTAGGTTCTGTTTTTCATTGATTCTGAAGATATATATATAATTGGCATAATAGCTACCAGTATCTATCACAGCTAATGGATCTCCCTCTTGTTATCCAACTTTTGGTACTGTATTTCATATTCTGCCTACAAAATAAAATCATTGAAAGGACTTGAGTAAGGAAAAATTATAAGATCTTACGTGTTGATAATGATGATAAAGGATTATTTTTACTTCACCTCCAGGTCTCCAAGACCCAAAAATATTTTAAAAGGTGGAAAATTTGATCTTTGATGTGAAAAAATTTACTTGCCATGAACCCCACAGTGTTAAACATGATAGGCAACTATGGAAAACTGGATGGGATAAAAGTGGACACAGAAAACATTTCATAGAGACTACTTCAGACTTGGGGAAGAGTGATTCAGAAAGGTCGTTCCTTTGTCTTGGACTGGAACTGTAGTATTAAAGACTATTGGATGATGAAGCTATGTCCCCATAGAAACCTGGTATAAAACTAAAGACCACCAGGAGAGATCATAAAAACAAGCTCCTCCTGGTACCTGCATTTTGCAGAGTATAAAACTGGTAGGCCAAAGTTAGATTCTGCTCACAGAAAGATCTGAGTTGACCCCTCAAAAATGATATAGATAGATATAGATTTCTAACACTTACAAGAGAGAAAATTTAATATTATTACTGATGGAGAAGACTATAGTTATAGATTTTTAACCTCATTAAAAACAGCCTTGAAATATATAAAGCAGAGGTGATGAAAGTACAAAGGAAAATAGGCAATTATAAATTGCAGTAGATATTTAACAGAGCTCTTCCAGAAATGGAGGTTCTAGCAGACAAATTTTAAAGAGATCCTAATAGCATAATTAACAAGTTTGATATAAAGAAATATCTCTCCACAGATGAAAGCTATATTATAATTAATTATGTATTAGGCTACAAAGAAAAATTTCAAAGAGCACACATCAAAAAGGTCAGTACCTTTGAAAACAATATTTTGAAACTGGTAACAAAAATGTATATTTACTTTAAGATAATCAGTGGCTTAAAGAGATACTACTGGAATCATAAAATAATTAAAAAGAAAAAGGTATTATACATCATATTTGATATAGTTATATATATAAAACTTTTTATGGCCTTCAAGAATTCCTTTAGAAAATAAAGAAAATTTTAAACAAGTTAAATGTTCAAGTTAAAAAAATAAAAGAACAATCTATTGCTAACCAAAGACAAAGAGGGGATGCCAATAGGATGGGATGGATACCTAAAAGCCTTCCTGCTAACAACACCCCAGTAAAATATAATAGATATAGTTTTGAGTGCTTTGTCAGGCCTAGAATCAAGTAAAAGAGACTGCAGGAACCAGAAATGAAGAGGCTAAAGATCCTAGAGAGAAATGAGAAACGAGGCTCCTGCAGCCCAACGGGAGTTGGGAGGAGATGAAGGGTGAATTTTCAATTTCATTATCCAGGGCAACAGTTTGTGAAATATTTCTGTGAAGGGCCAGACAGTGAATATTTTCGGCTTCATAGGCCTGTAGCAACTATTCCATCCAGTAGAATAAAGTGAAAACAGCCCAGTAGCTATAAAAACAGATGAGCATGGCTGTGTTCCAATAAAACTTCACTTAGCAAATAAGTAGTGGGCTGGACTTGACCCGTGGGCCATACTTTCCTGACCCCTCAACTTGGGCTTGGGTCTTAACATCCATGAGGGGCAGGAAATGTAGTTACAACAGGAGAAGAGCTGGGACCCACCAAAGCATGCCCTTGAAGGAGCACAATCTAGTGAGGTACACATTAGAAAAATGAGCCCATTGGCCTAGGGGATGGAGAGAATGATGATCTGTCTTAGTAGGAGCCTGATAGGAAATAGTCTTTCCTGAGTACTGTCAGCTGATTGAAACTCAAATGTACATTTATTATAATCCTCATAATTGGCCTTGAGCATCAGTTATCCTGGGAATGGCTGGGGAAATAAAGCAAGAACATTTTAATGGGTTACCCCTTCACACTAGCTACTCAAAATTCTCACTAATAGTGAACCACTGAATTTGAACTAATCACCAAAACTTAAAATATAAAAGAAAAGAATTCACCAGTAGGACAAAAGCTCATAAATCAGAAACTATGAAGTATATAAGCTTAACATAGATACAAAATAAGACATTTTTAAAATAAGAAAGGATAAGCTATTCTAAAAAAGATCAGTGAGACTTGAGACAGAATCATATGTAACTTCCAGAAATTGAACTCTAAATGGGAAAGATAAAAATAAATCAACACTCAGATATGATATAGGGAAGCTACAAAATACTAAGGACAAAATGACAAAAGGTGGCAGAGATAAAAAGGGCTAGTTACCCACACAACTACCTAATCAGACTGTCTGGGGGACACAGGAATATGTAGGCACCAGCTCCAACTTACTGTTTGCTTCAGGGTTCCAAGCCCTAACAGAAGGCAGTAGTGGCAGTGGGGACACTGTGACATAGTATCACCTGGTCAGAATGAGCGCTGGCCTCCCTATCACTGAACCTGCTGTGGCTCAGAACTGAGGCCATGCTCTGGAGGGAGATGTCTGTTCTTCTGATGGCAACACTCATCATCCACCCTGAGGCACCGAGGGACATGTACGTTAGAGAGCACACCTATCTAATATAAGGCTGGAGATGGCCTTGTCCAAAGCAGGTTACCAGGAAGGTTTGCAGAGGGAAGGAATAGCTAGCAGAGATCTTACAGTAATTTGCCAAAGTTAAAGATAAACATGGCTTCCTGCAAAGAGCTAGTAAAAATACTTCAAACAATACCATCTGCAGAAAACTAAGACTCAACCCCCAGCCTCTGTGGTCCAGATTTCTGCAACATAAGCTGTGTGCTAGACCAGCACGGACCATTAACAGAGAAGCTCCACTTTGCCATATGTCCCATGTACACTGAGCCTAGAATCGCCATCACTTTCTACCCACTTTTAATAATTTATCTCATTTGACTGTCGTAATAAGTCCGCGTTTTAGTAACGAAGGTCTCTGATTACCTTCAACTTATAAGACATTATACTGGAAATTATCTTTCCCAGTAAAACTGTCCAAGTTATGGTTTAAGACCAAGTTCTAAGAGTCAGGGTTTTATGTTCTTTCCACTAAGAATGCTGTAGGGAAACTGTACTTCTGCATAAGAGCTTACAAACTGAACACTGTTTCTAAACACCAGTTTTATAAAGACATTTCAGCAGATGTGTCTGCTTCCACTGAGCTTCCACTCACCTTTTCAACCAGACATCTGAGAACCACTGTCCTCTGGAATTCTATTCTTTACTTTCCTTTATTCCCTAGATTAAATCGACTGACAAATGCTATCAGGTTTGCCTGATGGAAATCTCAATACTCCACGTTACATCTTTATCCTCTGTGCTTACTGGTTTCTTATGACTTTCAGGATAAAATCTAAATTTTCCTGCATGCATGAAAGCCTTTCAGGATCCTATCGTGGCCTCTGCTGCCTTTTCTCTCACGCAGATCCTCCTCTGAGGAACTCTCAGGGAGGTTCCTTAGACCGTTTTACTCTTTTCCACACACAAAATTCCAACACATGCTTCAAAAAAAAAGCTCCAGAAGCCTTCCTGAACTGTCATCAGATGCTCAAAAGAAGAGTTAGGCCTTGCATTGCTGGGCTTCCCAGGGCTCTGCTCACTTTCCTGTGCATGATCACTCTGCCTCCTCCTGCCCACTCATCTGCATCCCCACCTGGCCTCTGAGCTCTTCACCTGGACTTACCTTGTAAGTGCAATATCCCTCATTTAGCAATGCCTGGCTCTCAGGAGATACTAGGCAATTATTTGCTTAATTAATCAATCAGTTATAGAAAATGTGATGAGTCTTTTTCTAAGCAATGTGAAAAACAAACAATCGTTTAAAGGCAGTATCAGTTTAATTTTGGTTGGAAGCAGTTTGTCACGAGGATGTGCAAACAACATGGTGAGGAATATGGAATTGGGTCCCTCAGGAACCTAAAACGCTGGCACATTTTCTTCTTACAAGATAAAGATATGAATATAAAAAGGTGTTATCAAAAGGATATTGCAAGAGACGGGAGGCTGATCTGGCTTATAAAAACAGAGAATTATCCATTCCAGGAAAACCTGAACAGAGCCAGGACCGATCATTTAGGGGGCAAGGTCTAACAGAAATACAGAATAAAAAAGTGGGGGAGGCCTTAAAAAATAAAGGCTACAATTACACTGCTTAAATATCTTGCATTCTATTTCTATGGCAATAGGTTAGCAAATCAGTTGTTGCTAAGGGAGACAACAAATGTATTTCAAAGCAATGATGGGGATGTTTATAGAATCATCCTTTTATTGTTGCCTGCCCAGAACAATCTAAACTGGTGGTGAGAAGAGAACTGGGCATAGGAAGACAACACTATTGGCAAGGCCAAACAACAAAGTGGTGATTCACTCAGTCCTTGCCCTGTCCAGAGACCCACATAGAAATATCCATCATAGAAAAAGACTGAATTACAAGAATAGTCCCCTCAAGGATGCAAATGTCTGTCTTGTTTTCAGTCCATGCTGCCTCCTTAATGTGTCAATGCCAAAAGATTAATAACCTTAGCATTAATAAACTACCAAATACAGCAGGTGTAGATATCTAGTGTGTGATACCTCTCCTCTCTCAGACCTTTGCTCAAGTATCAA